ACTTGGACATTACAAACTTTACAAATTTGAGTGTATGAATAAGTTGTTGTTCTTATTTTCCTGAAGAGTTCTTCATTGCTAATATGTTCTGTCCATGGTATTCTAAGCATTTGTTAGTAGAACTACATCTTTCAGTTCAGATTTCTTATGAACTGATAAATTTTGAATTGTCATCAGGTGGTTAAATGAAGGGATGCTGGCAAGTCCTTGAGCTGATTCACTTCCTAGAACCTGACATGGGCATACAGATAAATACCTATATTGCAGATGATGACAAGAGTAACAAACAAAACAATGTAGTACTGGTGGGGGTGGAAAGAAAAGGAGATATGTCAAAATAAAATTATCTTTATTATCAAGGTATATATTGGATCAAAGGTAGAATGATTCTTATAGACAAAGGAGTCTTCAAAGATGGGCAAGTTGATTATGTACTGACCTCACATTGAAGTTTACATCAGGCTGGTTGACCAATAAATCACTGTGAACTACTTTCAGTTGGATAGATGACTCAGCATTTTTGTCACGTATTTGCTTTACTGGCAATGTTTGTGATGGGTTCTGAAGTTTAAGTTTTGTGAATTGAATGTGATACTCAGTAGCCATGTGCAGAAAACAATTTTTAAAAAACAAATTTGCTTTTGTAATGTTCATATCTAATAGACAGGTTTTGATGTATTGTAAAGTGAATCAAATAGAAATTTAATTTAAAGCAGAGTATAACAGAGAGTGATATATTTCTCCCATTGGTTATACAGTGTAACCCGGATATAAGAGACCCGGATATAAGAGAGATTTTCTCTGGTCCAAAATTAGAGCCTATGTTACCTAAACAAAATAGACCAAACCCGGATATAAGAGAAACCCGGATATAAGAGACTTCTTCTTTGGTCCCGACATCTCTCTTATATCCGGGTTACACTGTATTGTAAATAATAACCAATTCCAATGATTATTTAACTGCATAAACCCGAATAATCTTAATACTGACCTCAACGTAATATAACAATAGCTAATTAACCTGATAATGTTTTAATTCAAGTGAAAATTAAATTTTAAACAAAACACCTTATGTTCCTGCAACATATAGTTGTTTTGTAGGTTATACAGAAATCATAAATGCATTTACATTTTTTGATGAAGGATAAAGTTTGATTTAAAAAATCTTTTGGAAAATAAATAACTTATAAGTTTCTAATATTATACCTGAGAGATATAAATGAACACATTGCAAGTTTTAATTTTTCTATAATTAAAATATTCTTAATCAAAATCCATTCAACTCTTTACAAATGATAGGTAAGGCTAGTCATGCATTATTTTCGAAAATTAGTTTTCCTCGCGTTTTAAAAATTCTGCTCTCCCTTGAAAACCCTGTCAAACCTAAGTTACCTCCCTAAAATAGACACACAACTGAAATTTTGAGAAAAAGGCCAAAGAAGGGAATTCAAACAAAGCAGAATAAAAAGGAAGGGTTTTATAAATTAAATACGAGTTTTCTTAAGGTCAAAACTATTTTCTAGAGATTTAGGTTCAGATTTTTTCTTCACCTCATCTGTCTTCCCATTCTCTTTTTTTGCTAAGGATATTACCAAGACCAAAAAACAAAAACAAATACGAAGTTGGAAGTCTACCAAACAGAAACACATGGCAAACACATTGAAACTGTTCTTCATTTTTTTTTTGTTAATCAATTGAATAAATAATTGATCTCTGTTAATTTTAAAATTAGATTTTGATTTTTTTTCTTGTTGTCGTTGTAATGAAGACATTAAAATGCCAGTAGCAACGGAACTCTTTAATAAAAAACAAACTGGTTCTCTGAAATCTTGTAAGCATCGCCTGTGTACATGACTTTTTGTAAATTATTTAAATTAAACGACTCTTCATACAGTCCTTTTTTAATTATCCAGACTTAGATGCCTAAAACTTTATATACAGATTTTAAGTGTATTACAACACGTTTGTAGGTAATAAATGAAATTAGTGTTACTCAGACTGTTAAACGAAAGTAAAAAAAAGTTTGGGGGAACATTTAATTAAAATATTTATTGAATTCAACCTGCATTTTCAAGTTTTTATAACATTTTGAATTGGGATGAGTTGGTGTCAATGGGCGGAAATGTTAGGACAATGCATTATTACGAACTTTACAAATTTATAGTAAATTTTATTATTTTTATACTAATGTAGTTACTGGAGAATAAACTTATTCAACATTGAACTTGACTACCGTTTTTACACTTAGGAAAAGAAGTAGTAGTAGCATATCCCGCTAAGTAAGACGAATCAATTTAGCTAAATTTCCTATAACAAACCGAGAAAAATATTAAAAATTCAAATATTTAAAGAAATTGTTAATGCAAACCAAGAGTACAGTGAGTAATAAATCTTATTGAGAATTTGTCCAGTAAGTCTTAACAGGTGCGGGATTTTAAGACTGGAATACTCAAATAAAATGAAATTTAAAAGATTAATTTTGTCAAATGTTATTTTTAACAAAATTAATCAAATTGTTTTGTGTAAAAAAAAAAAAAAAAAAGCCTGGTGATAAATCGCGTATGCTTTTCTCAAACAGGCCCGTTAAAAGGTAGTCAAGCCCAACGTGGTGCCTAAGCTTGCATTTCTCGCTCATGTGCTTTTCCTTTTTTAATATTAGAATTAGACTAAAAATCAATTTCTTTATTACAACAGAAAAAATAAAACAAACTCATATGGTTTAGAAAAGAAAAACAATCAACCAACAATACGATTGGATATTTTTAGTTTTTTAAACTAAAAGGAACTTATATAGACTTAACGTATTTTCGTTTTATATTCTAATTTTTTACTCCACTGAATAATAGTAATGTAATCTGAAGACGCAAAAAAGAAAAAAAAAAGCTTATTTTGTTGAATTTGAACTTGAGTAGCTGTGACCTCTGTATTTTGTTATAAAAATTAAGCTAAACTTAGAAAAAAACCAAAACAAGTGAAAAACTTGTTGATTAGCTGCACCAAAGAAAAAACTTAATCTAAGCAAGCTTTATAAAAATTTTTTAAAAAGTGATTAAAAATAAAGGTAAGTTATTTCTTCTTTGAAAATTAAACGACCGTAATAGAAAAAAAAATCAGGTGCGATATTTTTTCTTAATTACTTCTAAAATTTTGCTCTTCAAAAAATAAAATAAATTTTTTATTTTCAAGCCAGAAATATCAGATGGTACGAGGATTCTTTAAATAACCGGAAGTAATTAAGTTTAACCCCTAGCGGCATTATTTGTCAACAGATGGCGCCAAATGATATGGTGATTTTTATTTCTAAGAAGTCACAAGGATGGGTAAGACGTTTTAGAAACAGGAGGTATTTTTTAATTTTTTTTTTGTCTTAAGATTTTATCTGAAAGGTGAAAATGATAAACATTAAAACATGTTTATTTTCTCTTTACATTTGTATTTTATTTTGGAATTTAATTAGAATAGGTTTTTAATTAATGCATAAATGATTGTCAATTATTTATTGTCCCTCTACAAAAATAAAAACGAAACAGTGAAGGATTTCAATATGGCGGAACATTTTTCATAAAAGGTTATAATAAATGTTAGCGATTTTTTCGTAGCATAATTTTGTTTATTATGATTTTATTTTAATCTTGCTTGTTTATTTAATAGCCTAACAAGAAAAAAAGCTTTATAAAATAGGAACCCTTATTAATAAAGCTAATTTCTAGCAATATAAATTACCTCCCCCAAAACATGAACTTGAGCATCAGATGATCTTTGGCAAAACGAAAATATAAACAAAGTAATCAATAATAATCGTTAAAACGAGAAAAATCGGAAGATATTGCATTTATTATTGCAATAAAGTTAGTTGTCCAAAAAAATGAACCCGTGTTTGCATGTATGGATACTGAATAAAATACCAATAGAATATGTTTTCATTAAGTTCAGTTCAAAATCTGAATTCACGATTTTAATTTTTTTTAAGAGATGATTGAACTTGATTTGTCAAACCCATTTTTTTTTTAGTATTATTTATTATTTTGTTATAAAATTTGTTTTATTCGATTATTTTTATAACTGTCTATTGATTCGGCCTTTTTATTTTTATATCACATGACAGTTGGAGAATAAAGCAATTAACTTTAAAGTTTAGCACCAAATTCTAATAAAAAGATTTATTTACTATCTGCAGACAACATTCATTTATTTCTTACAAGATGCAAATTTTGAACATTTGCATGACATATTTCAGAAACGAGGAATTTAATTTTGAAAGGTAAGTGAATAAAGGAATCATTCCCTTTCAAATTACTTTTAAAATGAAATTATTTTTTACAAGTAATTGTTTTATTTTTTTAACGGTGTTTTTGTTTTGTTTTTCAGGTTTGAACTGATGCGAAATGCCTATAGGAAATTTATAAGCTATGAAGAAAAATAAGCCTTGTTTTAATGTTTCTCCAAAATTATATCTATTGACTGAGATATGCTGTACACAATCAATTTGGGAATTATTTGTAGCATTGGATAGTGATTATAAATCTTGAACTACATGTTAATAATAATTGCACTAATAATATGATGAAAAATTTTAAAAAATTATCCAGTGATTGTTATATTTGGCAAAGTAAATTTCTCAAGTAAGTGTGATTTTATTTTATACCACATTTCAAAGAAATCTGAAATTTTCCTGCCAAATATGAAAATGAATGGCAACTTGAAACCTGAATTATTTTGTTTTTCAGAGTTGAATATCAACTGAATTAGTTGATGGAAATATTTATTGGAGAAACAGAATTATAAACATTTAGGAATCTGAAATGAAGGTATGTTTGAAGATATGAGAATTATTGGGAATTTCTCTCATAAAATCCACAGAAAAGTTTGTTAATAACTGAAATTTTAATAGATATCCTACCTGTACTAAATTAAATATAAAACACTATGTTCATGTTATAATAAAAACGCACAGATTTGGTGTCAGTATTTTTTATTAAATGAAGATCTTTTTCACTTACATGACTTTCAAGAATTACACTGCATATGATCAAATACAAGGGATCTGAAAATGAAAAAAAAAAATTAAAATAAGCAATAATAATTTTTTTTATTCTTCAGAGTATTTTCCATCATATGATGGAGTTTTAACATTGGAAATTTACTTTCATTGTCATCAGGTATGTGTTGTATTTTTTGATAACCTATACTTCACCTTTCCTATGAGATACTATTAAAGAAATTGTCTTTTATCAAACATGTGAGCATGGAAAGCTGAAAACACTCATGTGTTTTGTATTACTGACAATGGACAATAGCTTTTATATAGAAATTTATCTTGAGCTATTTGGAAATAATTTTTAGGTATTTGATAATGTATTAAAATGTCAAATTAAATCTTTAAAAACCATTCCTATTTTTAACTTTTCCTTTTTAATGAATTATTTTTGTTTCCAACATTTCAAGTATTTCCATAACAATATATTTTATTTTATTGCCTATCCCAAATTACTACAAATTAAGAAAATATTTTATTTTAAAGTACAAACTAACCTATTAATCTCAGTCACTTAATGATGCAAAAATGTTAAATTCAAATGTTAAAAATTTATTGGAAAGCTTAAATTTTCGTTAGGTTACAAAAACAAAGTTTTGTGTTAATATTTTTTAACCTAAAAACATAAGTCCCTTTTTTATTAATGATAAAATACCCCATCCAATTTCATCACTCAAATCCCTTCTGCCACAATGAACGAGTTATGTCCCCTACTCTGGTTATTGATATCAACTAATCAATTTTTGTTGTGCTGTTTTGAACTTTGTAATTTGTTGTCTTTTATTAATTTTAAGAGAAACGGAAAACTAAAAAGAAAAAAGGTAAGTGGAAGATTTGTTCAGGGATTAAGAATTCTGTAGCTTTGTTAACTTGAAAAAATAAAAACTATTATGAATAACCATTAAAGATTAGGCAAACTATTTACCAACTCAGAATTAAAAGATGAATTTTTTATTTATATATGCTACCAACTTTTTCTTTCAGAACATTAAGCAAAGATTACTCCCACCCCCTTAATCTCAGTATAAAGTATTTTTTTCAACATGTCATACTACAAACTTCAATGGAACGAGTTTGATGATGCTACACCAGTATTTTCCAAATATTCTTATATCACATCAATCTTGCACCTTTATAAGACTTGAATATTGTTGCCACATATTGTTTGCTAGTGGTTATATATCAAAAGATTCTTGACAGAATGTTAAAAAAAAAAATCTGCAATGTTACTGGTTCTATCCTGGCATCACTTTCCCACCAAAGTAATATAACTTCTGTAACTTTTCTATAAATACTTTCATGTGGTAATTGTTCTAATGGGTTTTCTCCTTTGGTATCACAATATTTTGAATTTAAGCCCTGTACTACTAGATTTGGCCTCCAGGTCTCATTTTACTGTTGAAAAAAGTTTTATGCTATTAGTTTCTTCTCTTGTTTTTCTCATCTGTTGAACTCTTCTTCTGGATTTTTGCTAAAAGCAATATCAGTTGTCATATTTCTTTGAATACTGTCCTTTTAATGTTCTAACACTTTCTTTGACTCTCTCTCCCCTTGCATCGGGGTGGCTTTTTGGGATAACATACTTTCTTTTTCATTTATCCACACTTATATTAGTAGTGGACTTCCAACAGTCTTGTTCATTGTGTGGTACTTCACACACCCCACAAAACTCATGAGCATCCACTTTTTCTTTCTTTTTTTAAAATCACACTGTGATTTTCATTTCATGAGAATTCTTATTTCACATCATGGAATCTTTTTAACTCCACTGAAAAGCTTGTTTCTTTGCTTTGGGAGATTCTTCTCATAAAACACAATATTTCCATGAATTTGGTTTTTTTTCCCCTCATATATAATTTTTTTATATATATATATATATATATATATATATATATATATATATATATATATATATATATATATACACACACACACACTTGTTTCTTCTTAACCTTGTAATTTTCTTCAACAAAACTACTTAACATTGATCAATTTTGGATCATTACCATCATGAATCTACCCTATTTCCTTCAGTTTGGGCTCTTACTTTATTAAAACTGCCCAGCCATTTCTTTTAATATAGCAGTTTGGGATCTTACTCTCCTGAATTTGCTCTACTCTTTTTGAAACCCCACTTTGGGATCTTTTTCCTTCACACAAAATCAACCTACATCTTCCTACAAAAAAAGAAAAAATACTTGCTTTCATTAATTTGGGATCTTTTGCACTGCCCCACTGAAAGCCTTTGCTTTTTCATCTTCATATATTTGGAATATTTTCCATAAAAAAGTGACCTACTTCCTACTTTGTGCTATTTTTCTTCATGGCACTCTATTTAATCTTCACATTTTCTCACAAAATCATTTTGATTTGGGATTTTACTCCCCCAAAAGTGAGATTTTGGTGAATATGGGATATTTTTCTCCCTAAAAAACACCACTGTGCTTTCGTCAATTGGGGTCTCTTTTCACTGAAATCCCCACTGCTTTCTTTGGGATTTTATTCCCTCAAGACTGCTTTTTCTTATATTTGTGCAGTCATTCTTTCCTGAAGCCTTCTCCATGACATCTGTTTGGAAATTTTTTTTTATTTCCATGTCATGGCTTTGATCATCTTAGATCTTTTTTTCTTTACTTCCTCTACAACATCCCATTTCTGATACCCTGGACGTCCTTTTCTTAATTTTGGTTTTCCTCAATACCATTTATTCAATTGACATTTGAGACTTTCATAAACCCTCTTTTGGGATTTTTCTCAAGTGTTTTTTCTCTTAAGATTTCAAACTTTATTCTTTTCAATCCTTTTGCCTGCTTTTCTTTATTTTGTAACATTGGACTCCCTTTATGAATCATACCCCCACCAAAACTTCATATTCTATGCAGCATTTAATTTATATGGAACTCTCTCCTACAGTATTAACAAGTCTTTCTTTCTATTTGACCTCTACACACAATATAAACCTTTTTAAATTTTACAATTACATAAAAGAATACTTCGTAATTTTCTCATCAAAATTTGTGACATTTCTTAAAAATCTATCATTGATAAATATTAATCATTTTCTATGACAAAGTGTACAAATAGCATGCAATACAGACCACAATTTCATATTTGGTATAATGAACAAATAACAGTTTCATTCTACATCCATTTTCATCTTAATTACTGTAAATATATTTTTGATAGCAAAATTCCAATTTTTGCTTTAACATAAGCCTTTGGTAAAATGTTTTTTTATATCATTCTGTGGTTATTTATTCTGTATACAAATTACTAAACCCTAAATGTTTTGATGGCATCAAAAATGTATTAAAATTTATTTGTATTTATGTAACTTAACTTTTGGCAATAAAGTATCTGCATTTATAAAAGCTGTGTTGAATTTTGAATTGTTATAAAAAAAAATTGTTGAACAGGTGTTTAGATTTGAATCATAAATTGCATGCTGGTTCAATTTGAATTTAAGAGCACATTATTATACCCAAAGTCCAAATTTCATTATTATTTATGTTACTACACTTGTTAATTCAAATCTGAATATAATTTGAAAACATGTTTTACTTTTCTTTAAACTCAATTACATCTTGTAATTGTTTATCACATAATTACACTGATTACTTAATTGTACTTGAATTTTTAAATTGCTTTCCTTCATGCAAAGGTATAACCTAGGCACCTCCGCTTTTTCAGCATAAATTTTCGATACCTAAGGTTTAAAATTAAATTTTAAAAATGAAAAAAGCTTTCTTGAAGTTTTCATTTTAGCTTTAATTGAAAGCTTAGACATCAACAAACATGAGTTTGAGAGTTTATTTTGGCATAAAACTGAGAGATCAAGATAACTTATGGGCTCTACATAAAGCCTGCCCTATATGCATTGGAGGAAGTGTTTGAATTCAAACATGGTAAGTTTGATTTCATAAACTGTAATTTAATCACTAGTACCTTAATGTAATTGTAACTTGTGTACATAAGCAAACATTTTCAAGAAATCTTTCAGTGATAACTTTTGATAATGCTTACAACAATATCGGGCGTGGCAAGAGACTATTAATCATTAACATTGATTGCTGCTTTTGCTGTCTCAAAATCTGGTCTTCACTAAAAAAAAAATTTCTCAAATTTTGACACTGCAATACAACCTGTGCTACATTCAAATGAGACCCCCACCCATTCCAAAATTCAGGAATTAGCTGCAGATGTTCCTGAAAATGTTATGCACTCTGAGGAGTATATTTGAAAGTCAAAATGATTTGCAAAAGTTTAACCAGCCAAGTTGAATGATCTTGTAAGGGATCTAAGTTTGACAAAAAAGATTGTGGAAATCTTAGTTTCAAAACTTAAAGAGAAAAACTAGCTTACTTCAAACACGTTCCATTTTTAGAGAAAAAGAGATGATCTCAAATAGTTTTGAACAGAGGATAGTTTAGTATATTGCTGAAAAGATTTTTAACCAAAATTTTGAACTTGCTAGAAAGGATTAAAAAAAAAAAATTTTATAAAATAATCAAAAAATACTTTGGACATTTCTCATAATAATAATAAACATTTTGACAATAAAACTTTGTTTTCGTCAAATTTTTTTTTTTAGCAAATACATGGAGGCACCTACAGAAAAAGTTTTAAATCTTATAAAATATATGATCCACTTGTGCTTCCTATATGTTGACTTAAAAATGGTTAATTTTCTACTAGGACAACAAGGAGGGTATTCTAAATATCCCTGCTTCCTTTGCTTATGAAACCAGAGCCAAAGAACAAGATTATTCCAAACAAATCTGGCCAGTATGAATATCACTCTTGGAGAAAAAAACATAATTAATCCATCTTTTGTGAGTAGAGATCAAATCATATTTCCTCCTCTGCATATCAAACTAAGCCCCATTAAACAATATGTAAAGGCTTAATATATGAACAGCAAGTGTTTCAAATACATAACTTTCAAAATTTAAAAGTTTAAGTTTTGCAAACCAAAGTGTGAGTTTTCAATGGTCCATAAATAAGAACATTAATTATAGACAGTAATTTTCCTAATGTCATGAATGAACACACACACACACACAAAAGCCTGGTTCTCATCCTTGGACTTGATAGAAAAAAATTGTAATGGTCTACAAAGAATTAGGTAGCAATATACCATAAAAATGCATTTTTTTGAATAGCCATCTTGACTAATATCCAAGTTGATGTAAGTGACAAACAAGGAGAGAACTTCCACCAAGATATCAAAATTATGAAGGAACAGTACCACCAAGGCTGCTGGAATTCCCACATGATGGCTGATTACTGCTGGTGCTTGAAAAGAGACCTGCCATTAACAAGCAAATACACTAGAAAGTTTTAAAGAAAACTTTTGCCACAATTAAAACTTCAGATCTCTTTATTTTAAGTCATTTCTATCATTTTACTGCTTGTATTCATAAAAGGTGAGAAAAAAATGTTAAGACACATTTTTTTAGTTCTAATTTGAAAAATGGCACCAGGATCTGATAGAGCCAAACTGAGTTGAAATTCTGATTCAGCACACTTAAATTACCTAGAATCAAGTGTGTGTCGGATATTATTCAATAAAATAAACATTCCCCAGTGTTATTAGTAGACATAATTTTAAAGATACACTGATGACACTGTGTTGATAGCAGAATCAGAAAAGCCAGAGATTCTTAGACATGAGAGGTAAAGGATATACCCACCCCCATCCCAATGTAAGGTAGAATGCATGGTTGTCACCAAGAAACAACTCAAGAAATGAGGCTCATATTGGGAAGAAAAATTAAACAGGTACAAAAATGTAATTATCTGGATAGTGTAGTAATAAGAAAAATCTGAAGGCAGATAGGAATAGCAAAAAATATACTGCATAAAATAACTAAAATATTATAAGATATTGTAAGACAGAAGAGTGATGAACTACTATGTCATATCTGAATCTTATATGGTAATGAATTCTGGGTAATTTGATAAAAGAAGTGATAAATATGTGGTTCTACTGACAACTGCTAAGAATACACCTGAGCAATAAGTAGGTCTAAAAGGAAAATAGGAACAAGGAAATGTATGTTACAATCAGAAAGAAACAACTGAAATTTCTAAAACACAAAAGCAGGTCTTGAAAATTAAACACTCAAGACACTGAAGGCAAGAAAAGCAAGGGAAAACTGTGAGTAATCTACTTAATAAGTTTTTATGAATGGATAGAACAGGAACAAAGAAATAAATGGTCAAAAGTTATTGACTTGATTCCTTAACATTTTTTTTAGTCATTGGACTTAGTTGTCCTGCTTATGAAAACTTTTTTATATAAAAAAGATTTAAATTAAAAATATTTGTGCATGTACTTCCAAAAAATTCACCACCACAAAAGTTTAAAAAGATATCAATGAGATAAGGAGTACAATTTCAAACATGATATCTAAATAACAGCTAGTCCAGATAACTAAAATAATGGATTGATTTTACACTGTATTGATATTAATATTGTGAACATGACCCCCCCACACACACACACTTAGTTTTATTTAAAAAAAAAAAAAAAAATCAAATCTGTTGCTGTTCATCACAATAGTTTCTTTTATTAAATTAAGACCTGTTTGGAGTATTAAAAAAAATGTAAGAGTTTAATATCATTTTTGAGTATGATCTTTTTTGTTTTTTTCTTTTAGCAACTTAGATTATTTTTGGCACTTATGTACAAAAAGGAAATAATTCTTATACCTTGCTTCAACTGACTACCATTCAATGTCAGAAGCAGATACTAGTTCAGTCATATTTGTGTATTGAAAGCACTGTTTTCCAATCTATTCGTACAGGTGTTCATTTTTTTTTTTTTCAGCTTCTTGCATACAAGAACCAATACTTCAGCAATTAATTCAAAGTTGTTCTTTTTAATTTGTCCCCCTCACCACCAATTCTTAAGTTCAGAATAAAAAAAAAGAACAACCTGCAAAATGCATTGGGTTCAATTAAATATTTTTATGATATCAAACAGGTAAGGAAAAAAAAAAAAAGAAGCAGCAATGAAATAGACACAAAGTGTCAATTAACTTAAGGGGAAGGAAAATGCTATTTCTAAATGTATAAAAAATAAAATTATTCATTATACTAAGTCTAATAAAAACGTATAGAATAAAAAATATGTTCTTAAATTATTATTTATATAAGGTTAAGGGAAAGTTATTTTTAAACATAAATAACAAATTCTTGATTACTGCACTGTTGGTCTTCCATATTTCTTTAAGTTTATTTTTATTTTTTGAGCATTTTTTTGACAAGGGTAGTTGTTTTTATTTCATACTTTGATTCCACAAGATATCATAAATAAATAAAACATTTTCATTCTGTTTCAAGTAAAATATAAGCAGTACTTTTAAAAAATCCAGTTAATTTATCCTTAAATTTATGAATAGACATCAAAACATCACTATGGGTTACAACAAGACAGAAGACTGGTTCCTATAATCTGGAGAGCAGAGATGGATTAATACATTTCACAAGGATATTTGTGTATAAGTGAATGTAATAAACTCAACTGGAATTCAAATTCAGATTACCATCACATCACCTACACATCCAAAAGCACCAAGAATTCCCAGGCAGTAACCCATCTATGTACTGACCAGTTTGTTAACATTATTTAACTTTGGTGATCGGACAAGAACTAGATTTTAACGTGATACATACACAAAAAAAAAAAAAGGTTGATGAATAAGTCCCCCCAGTATATAATTGCACATCATTATTATTAGTAGTAACTAACAGGATATAGTAAACAGTTTTGTTTTTCTAATAAACAAAAATTCAATTTACTGCAATTTAACCTCAATTACATTAAGGTTCAAGTTACAATTTGATTAAACAGAAAAGCTTGAAATAAATTAAACAGATAAAAACTAACAAACTAGTGAAAAACTGAATACTGAATTTTTTATACCTTTAACCATAAATTATTGTGTGAGTTAATTTTAAAAACAAAAAAAAACTTTACAACACATTTTAAATAATTTAAATGCCTTATTTGAAATATAATAACCTAAAAGCTGATTCATAAAAAAAAGGAAAAATAAATTTACCTATTTAAATAAAGATTTAAATAAACATATCCAAAAAAGTTATTTACACATCATTAATATCATATCTTCTACTACCATCTCAAAGTGTATGTTAAATTTAAATAAGTACAAAGGACCAAAAGTACGACAACCTAAAAATTATCCTTAACCTTATACATGAGCCAATAGTTTAAGAATACAAGTTTTCATTCTATAGTCTTTTTATTAGAATTTTTATAAAATTAATATATTTTATACATTAGGAGTATAAGATTAATTAAAAACTAGTTAAATGTTACTTTTGAGTTTAAGTCATTGCTTTTATTTTTTTACCTGTTTGATGTCAAAATATTTAATTACATGTGTTTTTTTTTTAAATATTCTGATTTCATTTATTAAAATTATTAATTTATTAATGAAGGAAGTGCTACAAAAAATAAAGACATTGAATTAATTGCCTGCAGTCACAGAATTGTTTCCTTTTTGAATTTTTGTACAGTTGTGAAAATGAAAAATAAATAATTTCTTAAAAAAAAAAAAAATGGCCTTAAACTTTACAGTTCTTGATTCTTCAAACATGTTAACAACAAGACTTACTGATTTTTATATTAACACATGTCAAGGTGAACAGAATTTTGTCAATAAAAGTGATCAATAGATGTGCTTTGATTAGTAAATAATCTGCAAACCAATTAATACAGTAGTGAGGCTTTGCAACAAACTAAGACAAGTAAATACTAACAATTCACAAAAATTACACTGCAAGTAATGATAAAGTCTTTTCTAGGTACTGCCACGGACATTCTAAAATTTTAATATTTTAAATGCCATCATTGAAATGTTGGTTCTATTTGAAAGATAATGAGCTAAAAAGCTAATCCAAATTAATTTCTGTATATAAAACTTTTGAAGCATTTTTAATGTATTAGTTTAGTACCTTTTTGTCATTCATCACACTACCTTTGTATATGAAAAATAAACAATAAATTAAAAATTTTCTTTAAAATCCAATATTTGCACTAGAGATGTGTTTTGAAGTCTTTTAGTAAATTTAAGGAATAATTAAATGGATTTTCTAAAAGTAATGCTTACCTTTTACTTAAAACAAAATGGAAATGTTTTATGCATGCTAGTCTGTGAGGTCAAAGGCCAGAGTAGAAAAACATTAATTCAACTCCTGTCTGAAAAAGTGAAAATAAGACCTAAAGTACAGAAGCCAAGAATTTGTTATTTATGTTTAAAACTAAATTTTCTTTAATCTTTTATAACTAATAGTTTAAGAACATAATTTTTATACTAATAGTCTTTTACTCGTCTGATATTGAATAGTAGTCACTCTATGAAAGATGTCAGAATTATTTTTCTTTTTGTATATCTATGCCAAAAATAATCTAACAGTTATCAGAAGGAAAAAATAAAATTCTTAAAAAATAACCCGGTATATTTTTAAAAGAATTTTGATTTGTTTTTGTATGTGCGATTACGCACAGAATTTCTTAAGTGTGGCTGTGCAAACCAATAAATCTTTCATTAAAAGATCACAAGTTTTAAGGGTTGCCCACCCCCTTATAAACGTTATATGCTCCACCATATTTAACTATGAACACGTTCAGCTGTCAATAAATTGATTAAGACTTCAGAAAAATAAGACACCCATAGTTAAGAAATGTTTGTACACAACTAAGTAATATTTGTTTTAAATCAGTTAATTTAACTTTAAATTTGCTAATTTTCCTCCAAAACTTTTCATTATATTTGCAAGATTTTTAAAACCGAGAATAAATTTTGTTTACAAATGGTGGATTTTTTATTGATTTTGGAAAAAAAAAAAGAAAAAGAGATTCTGATCAATATTTCTGTTTGAAATACACCATCGAGTATTTTGCTTACTGGGAATAGTAAATTTGAAATCCTTTAACTTTCAATTTAAATGAAACCTTTTTCATTTTTAAAAAATCATTTTTTTTTAAAATCTTACGTATACCAAATTAACGAAGGTACCTAATTTTGGTGGTACTTAAGCTTTCTCTATCCATTTTAGCATAACGGATAGGGAAAGACTAGAAAAAAACATTAATAATAACTAATAACTTAAAATCTCAGCTAAAATGACTTGAGAATAATTCTTGTTGAATCAAACCAAAAGCAGAATCAAATAAATATGTACAACAAAGATTTTGGTAAAAATCTTTTTAAGAGAGAATCTAAGGAAAATCGATTTTAAATCAATACACTTTAGGGAGATTCAACCAATCATGTTTTTATTTTACATCACATGCATATATTGTCATTCACTTCATGAAACACCAATGTATTGTAGTAGAACACTAACAGTGTATATTTCTCAATGGAGTAGACCCCCCCCCAAAAAAAAATATAAATAAAAAAAACAGGTGTCTTGTAGAGCAAATACTGGAAATCAAGCGTATCCAACAGTTAGTTATTTCTGTAGTCCTCACTGGGTGCCCTAAACTTGTGGCTTTGTGCCATAATAAATTGTACTCCGTAAAAATATCAACACAATTGTATCGAACTTACAAGAGTACAGCGTAGTATTTTTTTTAATCAATTCACCCTAAGCAAGGTAACAATGTCACTAAGACGCAAGGGGCTAGTCCTACTGGGCGTGAATGACTATGAAAAGAAAAAAAAATTCAGAAGGAACCGGAAACTCAATCTTAAGCACGAAACATCCTTCTTTCCTGTTTAATGTTTAGGATTGGATTTCCGGTTCCTTCTAATTTTTTCAGATCGTGATGAATGTACTGTGTGAACTGAACGATAGGCAAAAAAAAGTACTCCGATTGAAAGAAAAAAAAATAGTAAAGTGATTTCCACTCCGCTCAAATCACGCAAACATCAGTAGAGGTGGGAAACTGGGAGTTGAAAGATATTCAATATTAATTTATGCAAATATTTTGCGTGGGATTTTTCTTCCCGTTTTTATTAGAATACTAATTTATTCATGCGACAAATATTACACAATTTAAATGCATTAGCATTAATTTTGTTAATTTTTATTCAGCACGAGGTTATCCAATACCCACTAAAAAGAAAATATTAAAAGTCACCTTTCAAATCAATAAATAAATACAACTAATAAAAAAATTTAAATGGCGATTGGTTGTGAATTTAAGACAATAAAAGAAATTACTGTGTTTTGTGATTAAAAAAATGTGAGAAATAGTAAGAATGCACCCACAGCTTAGCATGAAATTTGTTGTAAAATAAAAATAGACTAGTCTAGAGTAATTTTATTGAGCCTGTCTTATACAGAGAAGTGTGGGTTAATCGTAGGTTACTGTGCAAGACCTTAAGAAGAGTAATTATAAAAAATAAAGTGTTCTTATATGCCATAAAATAGGTTTTTGTTTGCGATGAAGTGTGGTCGGTTGCAATTTTTAGAAATTTATACCTTGCACCGTCCAAATTTAATAAAAGTAGCGTAAATTAAGTTTGACAAGTGACTAAAAAAATTCATTACAACAAACAAAAAAGCGGAGGGGGGGATAAAATTGTTTTAAATAAATTGATGAATAAATTAAAAGAGACAGATCTTTTTTTTTTTTTTTACTTACCAGCTTAAAAATAAATGGCAAATCCAAATGTGTCGATTTAGAACACTGAACTTTTCTGTCGCTATTTTAAATCCGGGTTGAAATACAAATTCTACAACTAAAATCAATTATTATTATTATAGAAATTATGAATGTCCTACGGTTGCAGGTAAACCTGCAAAGTGCAAATAGTTATGGAGCGGACATTTTCTAATATGAGATTTCAGACAGTCATTAAGAAATTTTTTTCTCATTCCCAGATCATTTGCTAGTATCTGCTGCACTGTTTCGCTATTCATATCTAGTTCTGCTTATCAATCTCGTACAACTTTCGATCTGAGCATATCAGAGTTTGCACCATTTTCATCTGTTGATTTTTTTTGCTATCCACTTCTTTGGTCATCGGGCACATCTCACCCTTTCTTGAACCACCTGTGTTACTCAATTTCTTCATAGTATGTTCACCGTAAGCCTAACGTTTTACTAATGCTTTTACCAATTTTTACAGAAAATTTGATGTTAATCTGTTGCCGCATATTCCTATTTTCACTCATTTTCCAGCAACGGTATTACGGACAAGTTCCTTTACCGCTACTTGTCTGCATCTCAAGAAAGCGGAAGTTAGAACATGTCCGGATGCGCTAGGATAAAAATACTTGCCCGACTTATTTTTCTATCGACACATTGCGGTCATTCTTGAAATTAAATTGCGACACGTCATATAATTATCATTGATTAATAATAATATTTGTCTTGGTTGTAATCTTGATAACGTAAAACATTAATATAAAAACATTAAGGGATTACAAATATTAATCATCTTAAAACGTTTAATTACTTAAGTTACATGAAGCCATAATTTTACTTCCGGTTGTAATATCATGTGATTCCTGTATTTCATTCAGAGATGTTATTTTATTTTGTATCTCAGTAAAAGGTGGCCAGTTTGTTTTTAGCAAAAAGAAAAAAAAGTAATTAAATAAATATTTGATATGAAAGTGTGAATATAATTCAGAAATTTTTGTACGAAAGTTATACTATACACCTCAATCTCAATAACCAATCGTGTCACTCGCCCTTGACATGTACCAACCAAAATTAAAATTCTACAATACATTGTTATTTTGTTTTTAAAATCAAAACACAAGAAACAGTTTTGAATGAAAACGTAATATTTGTATTAAAATCAAAACAATATATTTTAAAAGTTTTTAAATAAACAATTGTGTTTCATTTAAAATAAATTGTGTACAAAATTAAAAAGATCAAAACCGTAAAAAAAAAATTTACACTACTCAGAAAAGTCCATATTTAAAAAAATCGAAACAATGATAATGATTTAATCACTTAATGCCCAAAATTAAAATAAAGGTCCTGTATTAATAATATCTTTCTACAAATATAACCACTATATAGGGTTATAAAAAAATTGACATTATTAGCTATTGTACAAATCCAGAATTAAATATAGTGTGGGAAATTTGTCGCGGCTTTCCCACTTAGAAGGGCTACAGTTCGCTAAAGTAACGGAATCGATAACAGCCACAACAGATTGAAAGTTTAGAGTGGACAATTCTCTCTTTTAAGCAGAAAAATATAGACTCAAACAGCTGCTTGGGTGTAACAACAGAAGTAAATGTTTATTTACATACACAAAAAAGGTAAAGGGATATATACAAAATATGAGAGGAAGGGAGAAGAAAATTCCTTTAACTTAAAGGGAGAAAAAGTTTTCATAAAGGCTTACTCAAAATATCTCTCTGAGTGCCTAAAAGTTCTTTAAGCAAGTAAATTGTTTTTTAAGAGTTAACACTAAGATTTCTTCAGAGCTCCTGTTGAAAAGGAAACAATCAGAAGATTCATAGTTTGTACTTAGTGAGTTCATAGTAGAGGCTGACAACAAAAATTTCAATGTCCTAGGAAGTAGATCTTGAGTAATTTTAGTAGAGGGCTGATGTTCTGTCTTTAGAGTCCAGTGTGTAGATGTCTTCCAAGAAACAGATTCAAAAGATGACTGACTGGTATTACTGTCACCAACTTGATGTTATCACAGATGATGTCAAATACAAACTACCAAGGAGGCACATATTTTCCATATTTATTGAGATTAGAAGGCTCAGAAATGTCAGGAACTTTCCCTCCAAAATTGCTTTACATTTTCCCAGTCTTCTCATTCATCAGATAATATATTCTTATTGCTGATAAGAATCAAAGGTTTGGGAGCTGGTTTTGGAAGCAAGGGTCCGACAAGTTGTGAGTGTTACCCCTGAGTTTATAACACCATGGTCAAGGTAGGGGTGGTTAAATTCCTTTTTATATTTTCCAGTTCTCTTGTTCAGCAGAAAATATATTCTTATCTCTGATAAGGATCAAGGCTTTGGGAGCCAGGGTTTTGGAAGCAGGAGTAAAAGTCAGGGCAAAGATCAGAAAAGAGGCTAGAACGTGACCTTGTAAATGTTGTAGTAGTGGTTGTTATCAAATTAAATTCTAATAATAGGCTTTGTAACTTTTTACCTATAACCAAGGCAACTGTTATCTATA